GGCGGGAGCGGGGGGCGGCGGCTGCCTTTGTGTGCGGCTGCTTGACTCCTCGCTGCTGCTCTGCCTGGCTCTCGATGCGCTGCTGCTGGCAGCTTTATGTCAATCAAGGCTCCCTGGGCGGCTGCTGCTGCTGCTGCAAGTGACTCCAGCTCAGCCCCTCGCACACACGGACCCCTCCTGCTTGGAGGGGGAAGAAGGTACAGCAGAGATCCCCTATCCCCCCCCAAACACACACACACACCCCCTTGTCTGCACCTGCTTCCCCATCCCCCCCTTGGACCACCAGCAGGCCCCTTGCATTTGAATAGTGGTCTGGAGACAGCTGAGGAACGCCCCCTTGCTCCCTTTCCCTGCCCCGCTTTTGTGTGCCAGGACCCACGCTGCAGCTATTGTTGATGCTGTAGGCAGCACCTGCTGGGCTGGACCCCGCAGAGCTGCAGGCTAGGGTGGAGAGTTTGCAAGAGGTCTCCTGGAGGGGGTGTGGGTCACCTGTGGTGAATGCAGCCCCAGCTCTTACACACCCTCTGCTTCAGGCCCCGGGAGTCTTTTGCCATACGCGGCCTTCGCCTGAGAACGAACCTGCAGACCTCTGCCCAGCACAGCCCAATTCTGAAGGGCTGCTTTCCACTTCCACAGATTCCCAGAAGTTTAGGGCTGGAAGGGACCTCGTGAGACCATCCTGCTCTGGGCAGGAAAGACTGTTGGGTCAAATAACTTATCTGAAGCATCGGCGTTTTCTGCAGCAAAGACCTCTTTGGATGATCTACAGGCTGACAGCTCAAAAGTTGTTTCTTCTGACAGATGCCACGTGGTTTCCCGAGCCTAGCAAAACAAAAATAGCATGTTATGCCCTGATCCTGTGAACATGCATATGCTTAACTCCAAACGCATGGGTACTCTCAATGAATCCATTCGGATTACTTATTCTGTGCATAGGATTCAGCGTGGATATATACTTACATACGCTCTAGTTCAGTTTCTGGACAGGATAAAAATTTTAACCCAGCAATACAATGTAATTTTCTTCATAAAGGAGGGCATTCTTCTTTGAATATATTTTATGAAGTAGAGAGCTAATACCCTGATTTTTAAAACAGGACTTAGAAGCAAAATGGCTTGCTGCCTTAATGCCTTTCCCGTGTTTTTATTCTGATCTTGTATTCCTTCCTCAAGAAAAATTAACATTTTCCTTGAGAAGGATTTCAAAACGAGGTCCCTGGTAGGCAAACAAAGTTGGTTTGAATAGATCACTACCTTGCCTGAAAGACTGCACTGTGTGTACAGTTCTGGTACCCAAGGCAAGTTCAAGTTTTGTCTCTGCCTGAGCCAAACAGCTAGTGGTCAAGGTACACCGATCTCTACAGCCAGCAGAATACAAGGAGGAAAGCAGCTAACATTATATCCAGCCACCTTTGATTTCCCAACCTGAAGGTCAGGTTCCCATTTAGAGCTGAGTTGAATAGGCGTAGCCTTTAGCATAAGTCGCTAGAGCACATCTTTAGAACCATAGCAAGATGTCTTACATGCTCTGCAACCACATCCCAGCTGAGTCAAGTATATTGTGTTTTCTTTCCAAGAGCACTCAACAAAATCCCCCAAATTCAAACTGCTGGGAAAGCAGAAAAGAGAAAAGAACAGAAAGGATGGTATATATAAAGAGAGAGCTGCTAGCACAAATGATGAACTAGTGAAAAAATATGGCATAAGTTACCAAAAAACATTCTCTAAATTAAATTAAATCAAACATTTTCCCAGACTACTAAATTAAAGGCAGCCTCTCTACAATGAAGAGGCAGCCCTCAGATATACATGAATGAAGACATTCTGGGTAGAGAAGCAGATAAGATGAAAGAATATTCATTGAATATATTCAAGTGGCAATATCTTTAGTGTTTTCTGTGGAAGGAAATGTTTAATTTCTATATGATCAACTATATTAGAGCCCTAGACAGCATGAAAATATCCAGACAACATGTGGCGAAAGGGGTGGACAGCAGCATGCAGCCTGCATAAATGCAAAACTTGAAGGACTAGAAGTCCTACATGAATTTATTTGCTAGTCACTCTAAGTGCTTGTTAGACCACACCCTAATAAAGAATAAACTGTATTCAAACTTGATACTAGCTGGATGAATTAACTATTTTGAAATAACTCATTTTCCCTTTTTCCTGTCACTTGTGGCTTTGTAACCCTTCTTGTGGCTTTGTGACCTAACATCCTTGCCTTTTCTGTTTTCCCAGAAAGACCTTTTAAGAATAACTCTTGCTATTGAGCATGAAGAACCAACAACTAGGCCTCTATTATTGCCATTCCCAGTGCCACAGAGTTTTCTGCTTCTACACCTTCAGCCCTAACTGCAATGACACTCTGGTCCCCTCTACACGTACAGGTAAAAATGCGGTGGTATCTGATGCATGATCCACACAATTGCACCTCCTGCCATGCCACGTGTGTATGGAAGGAGGCATTATTGTGGGATCACACAACATTACATACCAGCTTATTGCAGGTGCAGGCAGAGCATGGGAGCATGATATTGGGCTCCCCTTGCACCAGTTCCCATGGCTGCAAACCCTGCAGCTGATGGGGTGGCAGCAGAGGCAATGTTCCCCATGCTGCCCTTTCTGTGAGCCCCACAGCCAACATTATCTGTGATGCTCACAGCAGGGGAAGCACTGGGAATGCAGCTACCACTGAGACCCCTGCCCGCTGCGGGGCTTGCAGCAGGGGTAGCAGGAAGAGCCTAGACTCACAGCAGCAGCAGCATTCCCAGTACTTCCCCATGCTGAGAGCTCTACACCTTACAAGGTTCACAAGGGGGGCAGCATTCTCCCCACTGCAAGCCCCACAGCTGACTAGACTCACAGCAGGAGCAGCAGCCAGAGGACTGCCACCACTATGAATCTTATTACCTGCAGGTCTGGCAGTGGGTGTTGCACCCCTATGGCTAGAAGCGCCTCAGTTGATGGTGCTCCCAGGCCCAGAGGAAGACTTGGCTGCATGTTCAATTAATGGAGTGATCAGAACAAGCTCCAAAGTTATTTCACATGTTTTGTGGATTAATTTTGTATCTTATAGTTTATTTTATCATGGCATTAATTGGTTGAACATGTAACTGAGTCACAATTTAAGGTGTGATTAACTAGTTAATTGTGCCTTAAGTATAATGTGTACCAGGGCCTCTATATGCTACAAAAGGACTAAGTTATTCTGATGCATATACCAAACTCCCTTCTAGGTCAAAATATGCTGAGAACACTGGGCAATTTGCAGGATCAGGACTATTATGCTCGCTGGTTCTGACCTCCAGTAACAAACCAGAACATTTTTTTAAAATATTTTTTTCAATTCCAAACATACCCATATATTGATGTTCCTCATTTGTCCCCATAGATTGGTCTACACAGAGGACAATTAGAAGCCAGTCTAAAGCTGATTTAAAAAATGCTGCATTTGTAATGCTTTAAAGTGTAATGCTTTGAGAATTAAAAAAAAAAATGTTTTAGTTCTTAAAGTCTGATTTAAGGACCTACTTAGGAAAAAAAAATCAAATTTGCATTCAATATTTTCTTTTAAAATGTTCTTTGTTTTTCATCTATTCTCTTCTTGTTTCTATTTAATCATAGAGAAAGGTGACAGAGGGAAAAGAGAAGTAAGGGGGGAGGGAGGGAAAGGGGAGGAAAAGAAAAATTACCAGACATTTAAAAAAAAGGAATTATTTTTATTTTTGTCAAAAACCTCAGAATTTTTTTTAATGTTTTGAGAAGTATTTACATTCAAGAAAATGTTCTTTTCCTGCGATAAAGAAGTTTCCATTCAGAATTTTTCAACCAGATCTATAACTAGAGTAAAATGAAATTTACAAGCTTCCTGTTTTATAAACATCTTGGTAAAACTCGGTACCAAACTGCACAAGCAGAAACTAAGACATCCTCAAAATGATGGAAACAAATCACTTATACAGGTTCTCCCTGTACTGGATGTACCTAAAATAAATTCATTCAGATGGATGCACTTAGCTGGGCAGCCTGAAACCTGAGGATACCTAAGAAATGAACCCATGGTCATATTTCTGTGAGCCAGGTGAATCACAGAAGAAACTTGCTGTGCCAATAATATTTGTGCATTATTCTAAGTTTCAGCCTATCAAAGCACAAAAGGTATTTTTTAAATATAAAAGAGTTGGTTACAGCCTTAAAGGATTTTGCTGTCATCTAAAAGCAGATTTACCAACCTAGTTAAATAGTGTATTGAAGAAACATGTGTTTTCCAACATGACACCCTACCTAAACAGTAAG